TCAGCGGCAAGACTTATATATCAAACATCCAAAAGATGTTCCTGTAACTGAATGATATCATTCAGAACTAAAGTTCACATATATGTCAAAGAGAACTTTGAAAAAGTTAACATGTTTCGCCGCTTATAGTTCCTAAAGTAAAATAAATCTAGATCCCTTATCAACCCGCAAAGGATTCAGCACGACATTCACTTGTTTTTTTGGCAAGAGACCCTTCACAACAAACGGAATTTCTTGAAATTGGGACATAAAATAAGGTCGGATTAAATTTTACGTATAAGGCTTTCTCCTTACTAATTCCTCTAGTAGAATATAATGCCATTACTGAGGTACCTTCGAAAGTTATGCAACTCAAAGAATGAATAGCAAAATAGAGCGTTAATGAGATCGTTTGGTTGAAACTGATAAATGTATATGGAAGCTTAGTGTATCCTGGAGAGGTCCTCAACAAACTTCAATACTTCTTCAACTGTAGCATTCCTCGGTTCTAAAAAAAGGTTCCTAAATGAACAAAAACTTGCGGTTCGGTGAGTGAGAGGGCAAACAGCCAAACAATAGCAGTAAAATAGTTAAAACATCTCTTGTAACAATCTCATGGAATTTTCTGAAAGATGTTAAAAAACAGCATCACCTTGTTCTTCAGGCATTTTTAGGTTTTCCACAATCTTCCCTACAGTTTCGCGAGGCAGGTCTAGAATACTTTCGACAAGGTCACCGTCTACAAAACCATTAGCTGGTTCTAAACGTTTCTCAGTAGCAAACGAACGATAACTGCTATGTGGAATCCTCATGCAATTCTTTGTTTCGCCTGCGATTCTCCGCTCCAGTTCACGGACGAACCTGGAATGAAAAAAGTGCTTTGAAAGTTTGAGAATTGTTCATATTCGTAAATATTCGTAAACTGCAATAAGACAAAAGCTGGTGTTCATTATCTCGGAAAAACCTTACTGAAAGTAGTCTGCATCTAGCTGCACTATTATGCCAACTCCACCGTCACATGTGCCGTATAGAATTGGCGTCGAGACTGGAGGGCTCATGGTGTCCATATGAGAAGAAATTAGTGAACCATGACAAAAGACGTTAACCATTTCTCCCAAATAAAACATAGCTGCTTCCTAAACCAATCAATGATGTACTAAACCTGAGTAGGATTTCACTGTTACGGCCGTGCTATGATCCGTTAAACTGATGGAGTAAAATAAGGTGACAGCATTGCAAAAGAAGTACTGTACTTGGAGCCGTGTGCTTTCATCTCGGTTCAATGCAGATGTGTCTTTTACTACAGTGAATAAGTTATACGAGTTTTCTGCTCCCAAGAAAGTCTCTGAGTTGATTATTTCACATGCTGACATCCAGTTGGTGACAACATCTCTAAATTATGCTGAATTGAACAACAGAAAACAATGATAAATCTAAGAAATTATTTGAAAATTAAGAAGTCTTGCTTATTCTTCATATTTATTACCTGGCAATCTTTTCAAAACTAGATTCCATGGACTTATACGACAGGAGTGAAAGTGATCGCATTAAATCAGCCACCAAGACAAGATCGCCGCGTGTTTTAAGGTAAAGAGCTGTGACATTGTCAAAATCCGAACATTCTAATCGAAGTTCCTTATCTTGTGTCCACTCAAACAAACGGACACAACTGTTGATAGCGACAACTAACTTTCCTAGAAACAATGATTTACAAAAGTTTCCCGACAAGTAAGCCGTGGTAATTTTTAGTGGTAACTAAATAGTACCCATTAAAATCTGTATAGAGTAAGGCGCGCCCTTAACTTCCTTCTCATGTATCAGACGCAAACGTTTCCCTTCAGAAATAGGATTCATTTGAAATATATAAATCTTCCCCTGAAGTGAATAACTATTAGATACGAGTGAAACTGTAGGCCAAGATTAACATAGGATACTCAACAGTAAAACTTGCCAACTTTGTTTCAGACTCATCGTTGTTCACCATAGCAGTGCCAACCGCATAGTAAACTTGCGGATCATCTCCAAGTTTACAGGATTTTAATGACAGTGCAACTTCGGAAGCAGCAAACTGATGAGAATGGATCACTTCAAAAGTGTTGGAATCCAATATAACAACTGAGTTAACCTAAAAATCTACATCGCGAAATGACGAACTAGAGTACTAGCTAGCTTTAGAGCAACATACCCCACCTCAATCTGTTCCGCATCGTCCTGAGGTGAAGAAGAAATCACACTTCCAGACGTACTTCCAGCTAATTTTGACGCACAAGGTCGGCAACGACGACAACCGTCTGGTCCCAAAAACTAGAACAACAGCCAGATAAAATTATCTGTTGACTCTTTAAATATTTTCAAGAATTTTCTGCACAGAGAAACGAAATGAAGAGAGCAAATTGAACTTCTGTGCGCTGCACTAGTACAGCAAGGGTATTAGTTTCAGCCTGATGTGCTATCCGCGCTGGTCCCTCTCCAAGCTCCACAGTACGAATACGTAGTTTTTGTATGTCGTCGATCCTTCCTTAAAAAACGAAGAAAAAATTATCTGCTACAAAGTTAAGAAGAATATAAGGGAAACGGTAGTAAAAATCAGCCAACCAATTACAAGCATTTGACCATCGGACATGACTAGACAATCTTCATATGCTGCCGAGTTCAGTGGACTCATATGGAAAACTAATTTTAAGTTCACATTCGAAAAAACCAATTTTTGGTTTGATGGATATATAACGGCCGGCCTATCACTGCATGCAAAAACATTACAAACTTCTTTAGAGTAAAATCTTTTTAGCGTGGTAGGCTGAGTACCCAAAGTGGCTTTCTTCGGTTCCATCAAAGCTCCTAAAATCAGAAGTTTTGGAAGTAAAAATCTTCCTAACCCTGTTCAATTGGTTAAGAGTTACCACAGTATGACCACATAAACACTAAAAATACGGAAAAAAGAGTGCTTTCAAGAGAAGCATTAACATAAAAATTCACTGTATCACGCCCTAAAATAACAGAAAACAGTAAAAGCAAGAAGATACCCGTCTTCTGATCAATCTGAAAATAATGAAGTGTTCCATCTCCAAGAGCTACAAGCAAGTATACAACAGATTCAACAGAATATATAAGTAGAGAACGCGCAAGCATTTCGCTGGCTACCTTTTCTCGCACAATTTCTTTCAAGTCCGGTAAGGAACGCAACGCGACTGACATTTCTGTCCAATAACTTACAGCACATAGATTTGACTCAACATTATCACCTAAACGAAATGGCAACAATAGCACAATCTTTTGTTAAAAGCAAGAATGATTCTAACAAAAAGACGCAATTCTATGTTTTGCTGTCAAGCATTTTTTAAAAAAAACAAAATAAAAATAATTGAATGTAAACGTACAAAAAACACAATGTAAAATGAGAAGAGTCTAACGAAACTGCTAACCAATCTGACCGACGTCTATTGCAGCAATCTCATAGTCACAATTAACTGCGGCAACAATTTCGATATGATCAGTAACACGAATATAGCTGAGCTGATTACCACATGCTACTACGATTTGGCCACTTTTCTCATTCGCAGAAACAACAGAAATCTCCTGTTGTGGTTTCCATGTGTCACACTTGTCAGTCAGGATGAGTATAACCTGAGATGGAGTCACTTGGACGATTCCACCATTAACAATTCTTCCTGCCCAAAGAGTTGCTTCTTCCGTGGACATCCCTGCAAACATCACATTTACTATGGGCACAACTGAAAATCTCTTTTTAAAAAACTTAAACGAATACGAAGTATCAATGTCTTCCCACAGTACTGCAAGCGGCTTAGACTACTTGACATAAGAGATTCTAAAAGAATCAGAAAAACGAAAGCAATTAAACGAATTATGATTTGCAAGTTTGAGTGAAACCGATACCCGGGAGAGACGTGTCATCCAGTTCTTCTCCACATATTTTAAAGATATGAGTTTCTCCAATAAAACCAACTACTAAATAATCGTCCATTTCAGAATCAACATTCAAAGCAAATAACGATTTGATTCCGGCTAGTTCCACAGAAGCTAGTTCTTCAATCCCAACGCCGTTACGAATTACACGCAAAGACCCATCCTACAAGAAAAAATCATTTTTTTATTGACAGTGCTTGAGACGCTAAAAGTACCGGTCACAATTAAAAATATCATCGTGAAAAAGAAGGAACAAACTACTAGCAAGGAAAAATCACCTTAAAACCTCCCGAGCAAGTGATCACTTCTTTCTGTCCGTTTTGATTGATTACAACCATGTCACGAATTGGAGCCAAATTTACGTAATTCTCCATTGGAATGATAAAGGTATCATCTTCCAGCGGTTCTGTAGTCAGTCGAATGAGCTGACTATCCCCAAAGCGAGACCCAATGAAAACCACCCCATTATCCAAATATACTATGCATTCAGGAATAGATGTTTCTCCAAGAAGTTCAAGCTGAATGGCAGACAGAAGGTTACAGAAATGGTGTTACCAATTATTAGAAAAGAAAACTGCAATGGAAACTTAAAAACCATTTAGAAGAATTACTTTCAGATCTTTAACATTCCGACCTCCTTCAGAGGTTACTTCGTAATCAAGCAACAACATAAAAATACGTCCTAAAAGATCTCCTAAAAGGAAGCGTTGACCATCACGATCTATTCGACCATAGCATATAATTGTTGACTGATGCATTTGCGGCGGAGCAATTGCCACAAAAATATTAGGCTCTAAAAAGGGGAAATAAAAGAAATAAATTTCGCAAGAAAAACTAGCTAAAATGAAGCAAAATAATCTAAAAAGATCGAATTAGTGCGAAACCAACCCTTAATGTAAGAAACAGATTCTTCTCCAATCACAATGACGCCTCCAAAAGGAAGAGGTACAGGAATAACAATTGAAGCATCTGCCTCAACATTATCTTGTTTCCACAAAGTTAAGCATTCTTCGTGAGAGTTGACGGGTGCGGCTTTCAAATGTCGTCCATTTTGATCGTGGTAAATATATACAACAGACGGCTGGGCTGAAAAACTCTGATTGCTTATTGGAGAAAACTAAACGTTGATAAACATACATATTCAAAAATAAAGACAGTAAATAATTAACAGTCATCTGAAAGTAATTAACTACAACTAAATATTAGAGAAAAGATTTTTACATATTTCACAACACAACCTACCCAACTCCCTAATTTGACAAAAACATTTTGGTCAATAAGGAAAATTCTTAAGTTAATTTACGTTGTTCATAATTCATCAGGTTCGGATAGAAAGAATTTAGTACTAAACCAAAGATATTTTTCTAAAGAACCTGAATCTTGCAAGAAATCAATGTCGATAATATAAAGGTCATCGCATCTTATATTATAACATCTTAGGTCCTTGTTATCTGCCCACTGAACAACCTTGAGAAGTCCATCGTAGAGTCGAAATACCATTAACTAAAAAAAGGTGAAAGTTAACATTAAGCAGCTTTTCCCAAAAGAAGTTTAAAAGATCTATCTTTTACTTACACCAGATGAATGAACAGAAGCTATAATGCCAGTTTCCGATGGCCTCCCAACACGTTCTGCAATATTCCCTGAAGCTCGCGTTCGCAGTCCCCCATTTTCATCCCAGCAGATAATAGCCAAATTATATTTTACTGTTAGCACAAGGAGACTATCAACATTCTGCAGGTGTAAAAAAAATTTTTTTGAAAAAACTAAAAAATATAACTGGTTTTATTGAAAAAATTTCAAGATTCTACTATTGCAACGTTTCGAGAAACGACACTCATTGCTCCACGAGCCTTGGGTAAAATTAACTAAATTTTTAGGATTCTCACATAACAATCGCCAGAACCTTTATGGCACATTTGAGCTAAAAACATATAAAAATTTACCTCACTAGGGGGCCTAAAAGCCTTCACTGCTGCTATCCTTCCAAAAATCGGTACCTCTCGAAAAGGCTTTAAACCAGCTGGAGTGATCGACAATAATTCAATCCTGTTAGTTTTTGCAAGAACTAAATTCAAGTCTCCAGGTGCAGTGAAATTCCCGACTACCGCATGTGTTATTGCAGTGGGTTTCTGAGCAGATACAATATAATTCGATGCCATAACCAGCCGTTTTTTCAATTACCGCTATGCCACCCTTAGACCCCTGCAACTTCAATACACATAATCCTCTTTTTCCTAAGTACAGCTACCAAACTACTGAAACTTTTGATGAGAATAATTTTACTGAAGCTTAGCTTGCAAAATGCAAGGAATCAATTTCATTTTTCATTTTTTTTTTTTTTTCGAAACAAACAAAGAAGAATCGCAACACATTAATAAACGCGAACAGATGAAAAAGCCAGAAAGTTTTTTTTTTACACTTTAGGGCTATAGGAAAAATACGTCACTCCAGAGCAGTTTCTGAAATGGGTATTCAATTGTGCAGACAATTCTTCACCGCAGGTTTACTAGCAAGAATCAATTGGACTTATTCTGACCGGGCCAGAACATCTTTAACGTTCAATACCACAATAATTTCATTTCATGACCATCACAATGTTATACAGTTTCAAAGCTGTATTAGCGCTCTTTTAAATAAACTCAAATAAATTTTTCGTTTTTAGTAACTTTTAGTAATTCACAGTATCACTTATTTCAAACAAAAAAAAAACGTTTCACGAGGGTATAAAAATGTTTGCTAAAATTCGCTTAACAGTTACCGGTGCGCTGATGTTGCCCGCAGTCATAATTTTATAATCGCTTCAAGATTTTCGGAGTCTCAACAGGTAAACTACAGTGAATTCATAAAGACGATCATATTAAATGGAACCAATACTTAAAAAGTGCACTGAATTTAGACATCTATGTATGCTTTATGTTCACATTGGCTGATTGCCGCAACAGGATGAAATTAACAGTGGTAACTGCAAGCCAATGCTCTGCAAGTTTAACCCTAATTTACAGCCATCTTTAATCGTAACATTTGGAAGAGGAGTGAAAAATCTGTTCTTTCGCTTATCGCAACATATTAATTGCTTTTTTGGGGATGAATTTTCTATTTATGCTTAGGCGGCTAAAAAAATGAAATTTTATTGTCTAAGGAAACTAAAACAACAGCGAAAGTTTCTCATACTTTTAAAAATGAAATGACAATGTCTCTAACCACGAGTAGAAAAGGAAATATTCTGTACACGAGAAAAAAGAACCACTGAAAGGTTAATAAAAACTTGAGTAAAAAATAAGACAAGAATGCCGGTGTAGAGCCAACTAAAATAAAGCTGCTATGTTTTCACTGCTGCCGTATAGGCGCGATAAAAATAAATTTAAAAAGCAAAAAAAGCAAAAAATCAAAGAGAAGAAAAACTGATTTAAAGTTACAAGAAACCGCAGTCTGTTATCTGAAGTAAAGGTGGTTTATTCCGTTTAAACAGCGAAATTATTCGCATTTTTATCCTGTTCCCAAGTCTGTTTACCTCGTGGGAAAACTTCTGATCTCCTTGTTGCGAGGAAGACTTATAAGGAGAATAGTTTTACCAGCAAGGTAACCTACTGAAATGGAATATTTGAGTAAACCACTCGGAATAAAACAAGGACTTTATCACATACTCAATTAAGGAATGAGTTCCTGATCATGGCTTAATTGTCCACCCGTAGCCTTTAGGGGAAAATGTACAGATTCACCACAAAATTAAATAATTTTCAGCAGTCATAAGTATAGTATTTTGCTCATTTCTACTTCATTTTTTAGCTGGGCAGTTTTGAGGAGAAGTCAGTGCTCATAAGGTGCACCTTGGTTTAAAAGCGGCATCTTATTTGAAGAGCTCAAACAACTTATTCCATTTTGATACTGAAGAGAATGTGAAGTGCTGGATGGAAGTGTGAAGGAAGTTTGAGGAACGTTTACTAGTGGAAAAGAAAAGTTATTCCTAAGTTTGTTTTACTGCCTTGCTACCTAGTGTGGCAAACAGTTTCGTTTCTTTGTGTATGATATATAATATCAAATATGCCCCCAGAAAATATGAATATATCCAGAAATTAATTACCAAAAAGAGAATAAATTATGCATTGAAATGCACTTTACTTCACCATAAAGCAGTTATAATGGCAAAGCCTCCTTCTAATCACAACAGTGAATGTTATATCCATTAACATTATACATTTTGTGACAGTTAACCTTAGTAAGTTTTCTGTAAAACTCGACAATTTTTTTTTTGTAAAACTGTAGCTTTTTTAAAAATTCTTGTCTAAGTAAGGTTAAGAAATCTTGACATCTTCCTTTTTCTGATATCAATTGAAATAAAGCTATTGCTTAGACAAAAAGAAACTCTTTGTTCCCAAAGGTTAAATACTTCAGCAACTACAACTGCGTTGCCGTTCAGCAAAAAACATTTCCTACTCGACAAAAAAAAGAGGTACGGCGGTGACCAGACGCTGCGGTGAAAGGAAAATAGTTGAAAATTTAATAACTCAGAAATTTTGAAATTCATTTGTAACTATTAGGAGAAGAAGAAAACACGATGACAAAATGTTTGAGATGCGAAAAATTTTTTTATCAATAATTTCCAGATCCGCAATTAAGCGCTGAAAAAGAAACAAAAATTCTTTATAAGAGTTTAAGCAAACGTCTCATTTTATTATAGTCGGTAAATAGCCGCAGTCAGCACCCTAGACGGTCGAAAGCGATTCTAATTGTGAAGCTAAGTAGAGTCATGAGTTTGTCTGAAAAGTGTCTACGATTGAAAGTTCGAGGTAGCTTGGTTTCCTCACTGTTTTGTATCTCCTGCAAGCTACTAAGAACTGTAAAATATGGAAAGATACACGGAACACCTTTATTCTCACAAGTTTCCTTTTCATAAGGTAAAGAACATTACATTTTTTGCTTTTCAAAGCGTTCAGGATTTCAGTCGGTCTTTTTATTAAGCACAGTACCTGGGGTACTAGAATCAAACCAGATAAGCTTTTCAAAAAGTAAGTAAAAAGTTGTACAGTAACTGAAGAAAACAATTTTTAAACTTGGAAATCTTTTGTGGAGAAGGGTGTGGAATTTTAAATCAGCTGGACTAAAAAGTTGTATAGTAACTGAAGAAAACAATTTTTAAACTTGGAAATTTTTTGTGGAAAAGGGCGTGGAATTTTAAATCAGCTGGACTGGTCCGTAAATGTGCCAAAACCGTTTATGAAGAACGTAAAATAGGGTGTCCTTATATTGTCTTTTCTCCTGAAATAAACGTAGATCGAAACGAAAGGGTTACTTACAGTAAACAAATCAAAGCGACCAACTGCTTAGCCTCCCGCGGTGGCAAATTAGTAGATAATTTATTAACTCTGATTTATATATATATATATATATATATATATATATAT